TCCACTTCCCATCCACCTCCCTGCTTGTGGCCTGGGAAAGCAGTCGAGGACAGCCCAAAGCCTTGGGACCCTGCACCCGCGTGGGAGACCTGGAACAAGTTCCTGGATCCTGGCTTCAGATCAGCATAGCATCGGCCATTGCACTCACTTGGGGAGTGAATCATCGAATGGAAGATCTTCCTCCCTGTCTCTCCTTCTCTCTGTATATCTGACTTTACAGTAAATAAATAAAAAATCTTAAAAAAAAAAAAAAAAAAAGGTATAGCCAGGAACAATGGCATCACCTAGGAGCTTATTAGAAATGTAAATTCTTGGGCCTGGCAAATAGCCTAGCAGCTACATCCTCGCAAATAGCCTAGCAGCTACATCCTCGCCTTGCATCTGGCAGGATCCCATGAGTACGAGTTCGTATCCTGGTTGCTCCACTTCCCATCCAATTCTCTGCTTGTGGCCTGAGAAAGCAGTAGAGGACAGCCAAAGGCTTTGGGACCTATATCCACATGGGAGACCTGGAGAAGCTCCTGGCTTTGAATCAGCTCAGCTCTGGCTGTTGTGGCCACTTAGGGAGTGAACCAGCAGATGAAGGATTTTTTCTCTCCATATCTCCTTCTTCCCATATATCTGCCTTTCCAATAAAAAAGAAACCTTTAGGGCCCAGCGCAGTGACCTAACAGCTAAAGTTCTCATCTTGAATGTACTGGGATTCCATATGGGTGCTGGTTCTAATCTCGGCAGCTCCACTTCCCATTCAGCTCCCTGCTTGTGGCCTGGGAGAACAGTCAAGCACGGCCCAAAGCCTTGGGACCCTGCACCCACGTGGGAGATCCAGAAGAAGCTTCTGGCTCCTGGCTTCGGATCGGTGCAGCACCGGCCATTGTGGTCACTTAGGGAGTGAATCATTGGACAGAAGATCTTCCTCTCTGTCTCTCCTCCTCTCTGTGTATCTGCCTTTCCAATAAAAATAAAATAAATCTAGAAAAAAAAAGTAAACTTATTCCACTTCAGATAAAATAAATTCAAACCTACATTAAAAAGAATTCCCTAGGATTCTGACCCACATTTAGTATGAGATGCGCTGCTAAGTGGTGAATCATAAACAGTTTAACTAGAAAAATAACATCACCAGATTTTCTTTCAAAATTATTTTGAGATGTACAAGTTCTTTCACATGTAATACAATCAATTGGAAATGTTACAATTAATAAGAGAAATTTGAAGAATAATAATTAATGTTAACTGTCTAATAAAATGTTTCCATACCAATGGATATATTTTTAAATATGATTAATCTACTAAGGTTCTTTTTCTAACAACAAGAATGATGGAAAGTGTCAATGTTATGTTAAACACACACTGTGCTTAACCAAAACTACTTAGCTCTATCAAAACTTGCCAAAGACACTCAAGTTCTTCTGACCAAACCTTACTAGGATTTGATCTGAGACTGAATTAAGAACACCATTACCACCAACAGCTAAACAAAAAAAGAACTGGCTGATGAGTGCAAAAGATCCAAAACAGTGATTCTGAGAAGAAACAATTAACTTCTGCCACTTCTATTTAAAAATCTAGGCAACTGAGAAGTACAAATTAAAGGTTTCCTGGCTGAAATACAAAATTAACCCATGAAATAACACCAGTAATGTTTGTAAATACTATAAAATGTACTCTATGAAGTTATCACAATGCATTATTGTTTTCTTCACATATCTGAAAATCTGAGGCTACACTTTTTTAAAAATTATTTTTATTGGAAAGTCAGATTTACAGAGAGGAGAAAGAACTTCTATCTGTTCATTTCCCAAGCAGACACACGACCCAGAGTTGAGCTGAGCTGATCTTAAACCAGGAGCCAAGAACCCCTTCCAGGTCTCCCATGCAAGTACAGGGCCCTAAGGCCCTGGGCCGTCCTCACTGCTTTCCCAGGCCTCCCCCAGGGAGCTGGAAGGGAAGTGGAGCAGCCAGGACATGAATTAGAGCCACGAGATCCCAGCGCATGCAAGGCAAGGACTTCAGCCACTCTGGTATCACACCAGGGCCTACACTCCTTTTTTTCAAACAAAAGTTACTACAATTGACAATACTGATCGTTCTTAGCATCCTTCCTTTGAAAAGCAGCTGAAAACAATCAAACTGCACATTATTTTAGTAAGGCATGACCTGGTACCCAGCGCAGTAGCCTAGTGGTTAAAATCCTCGCCTTGCATGCACCGGGATCTCATGTGGGCGCCAGTTTGTGTTCCAACGGCTTTACTCACCTTCCTCCCAGCTCCCTGCTTGTGGCATGGAGGCCTGGAAAGCAGTAGAAGACAGGGAAGAAGCTCCTGGCTTTAGCTCAGCTCTGGCAGTTCCATTGCTTGGGGAGTGAACCAGGGGATGGAGGATCTTTCTCTCTGTATCTCATTCTCTCTGTATATCTGATTTTCCATTAAAAATAAATAAATCTAAAAAAATAAAGACATGACTAAGGTACATTTTTTATTATTATTATTTCCTATTAATAAACACAAGGTTACAGCCTAAAGTCACCATTTTGGAATCCTAAGTAAATTACTGATATCCTGCTATGCAAATATAAATATTCTCTTTAAGGCAATATATAATAAAACCGTATTTCTAAAAACAAACTAAATAAATTAATAAATTAAGGGCTTTAAGTAGAAGCAAAAGCTATTAACACTGCCCAAACTTGAAAAGCGACTTCCTTTTATTTCTGGAAAACTACACTAACGTGAGCTGCCATTTTACCTCTAGTTCATCCAAACCTGAAGTGCCTAAGCTTATGTATTTTTGTAACTAACATTCCTTCCTGTTTCAGCTAGCGAAATTTGATACTGTGGGGGAAAGAAGTGAACTCTGGAAAATACTACCAAGCGGTAGTATTTTTTTGCCTTAAAACAATAGGGCTTTTGGGCATGGCGCGATAGCCATGGTGGTTAAGGTCCTCGCCTTGAACACACCGGGATCCCATATGGCTGCCGGTTCTAATCCCGGCAGCTCCACTTCCCATCCAGCTCCCTGCTTGTGGCCTGGGAAAGCAGTCAGGGATGGCCCAGAGCATTGGGACCCTGCACCCACGTGGGAGACCCAGAAAGAAGTTCCTGGCTCCGGATCAGCACAGCACTGGCCGTTGTGGTCACTTAGGGAGTGAATCATTGGCAGAAGATCTTCCTCTCTGTCTCTCCTCCTCTCTGTACATCTGCCTTTCCAATAAAAATAAATCAATCTTAACAAAAAAAAGGGGGGGGAGCACTTTCCCCCATCACTTAAATTGATTCGCCTTCACTCAAATGTAACAGAGTCAGAATATACTACTATTCCTTTTGTGTAGTTTTTTTCTCAACTTGTTTATAAAGTGTTAGGTCCCTATTAACTTTCTGGTCATCTTAGCTAATAATACTGTATGTAATCTGCAGAAGAATAAGTGTACTGTTCCAAGAAATTTTACACTGAGTTGTAAAACTTCTACCTTCCTGACTGGTGAGGAATCCAGGAGATCATCAAGGAAATTCATAAGAAAAATGACTACCAAGTCCAGCGTGATGACTTAGCCACTAAAGTCCTCACCTTGAATGTGCCGGTTCTAATCCCAGCAGCTCCGCTTCCCATCCAGCTCCCTGCTTGTGGCCTGGGAAAGCAGTTGAGGACGGCCCAAAGCCTCGGGAACTATCACCTATGGGAGACCCAGAAGAAACTCTGGGTTCCTGGCTTCAGATCAGCGCAGCTCCAGCCATGTGGTCAGTTGGGGAGTGAACCAGCAGATGGAAGATCTTCCTCTGTCTCTCCTCCTCTCTGTATATCTGCCTTTCCAATAAAAATACACCTATCTCAAAAAAAAAGGAAAAAAACTGACTACTATGTTTACTTGCAAGTGAATGGGATCCATATCTAAACAGAACCTTACCAAGTTTTCTTTAAGAAATAAAGAGAACTCTCCATGTGGAACTTTCTATACACTGGAGACATTTGCCGATTATGCAAAAAACCCTCCAACACAATCTTCCTCAAACACTGCCCTCCCCATTTTTCTTTCACTTGTGATACACCTATAAGGTAAGGGCTCAGGGAAGACAAACTTGCTGAAAGCCCTGTCCCAGTTTCAACCTGCTCACCTCTGGCGCTTTTTCTAAGATCACTTCCAATGTGGCATGCCACAATTTCCTCAGAAAAAAATCTTACAGGCTGCCTACTGACCCCAAAACCAACATTACTATTGGACACTGACATTGGACAGACTCAAGTTCTCACCCCCAAAAATGCTACTTCTTGTCTAACACCTCCACAATCCCCAATTATTCACCCTTATGATTATACTTACTCTTTCACTACCTTCCTTTGAGTAGGCCTCAAATCCCTACTGCTTAATTTAAGAACTGGAATTCTGTTTGACTACAAAAGCCTCAATTCACACTGAATCTGTTTTACATAACTGAACCCACCATACCCCACCCAAAATCACCAACACAACATTTTGAACATGTTGAATTTTATTAAAAATATTTAACATTGTACAAATATTTCAATACAGTATTGGTACATGAACACTGTACCAGAAGCATTTTTATTAAACTCATGATTAAATGGAAATGGTATTGCAAACTCCCAATTTGTACTTCTCATGTTACTGTATGCACACCAGCAATCCAATTATAAATAGTCTTAGAACATAGTACTAAACACCATAACAGAACTCATTCAAGTACATCCTACCTATTATACTGCACAGGCGAGAGAAGTCCTTTTGCACAACTCTGGTGAGACAGGAAGATAAGCAATGTTCATGGGATCCTGACTAAGTTGCTATATTCTATGAGAGCCCTTTATGATATTTGAGCAACCTAAGTTTTCCTCCAGAATGCCTCCTCCTTTTTTGGTTCCATGTTGTTGTTTTTTTTTTTTTATAAAGCCAACAAAAATGTACGCTGCATTATCGTTAACCTGCACAAAGTCATGTGAATTACTTGAGTACTCCTATTGCTTACTATAAACTTCTCAAGGAGCATGTGATCTAGTGCAACCTTTACGGTTCTATACCCTGATCTTCTCTATCACTGATACATGCATAAAGTGTGTCAGAAGAGCAAAGAAAGTATCTTAATTCAACCCTGCAATCACTGCAATTCTTACACCTGGAATTTCATTGTAGTGATGTACAGTTTAGCCTACAACAAATTACAGATAAAGATTTATATTCATGACACAGACTAGCACTTGTTTAATACCTGGGAGACGCTTTCTACACCGGCACCCCCAACCAATAAGGAAGGTATAGTATTGTTAAGAATACTGAGGAGGTTCTCAGGCATAAAAATCCAAACTATTTTTCATCAGTGTTTATGCCATATTACAATTTTTAATATAGTATGGCAAGAAATGCATTACTAAATTTAATTTCCTCAATTTATATTTTACCATCACAGAATCTCCTATAATTTGTAACATGAGATTTCATCCTTAACAATTATCTCAAAAATGGCTTAGAATTCTACCAGTCTACTAATCTTTTCTCTCTTGGAGTTTCAGACAAAACACGTAATGGTTTGTGCTTCTGTAATTTCAAAGTCTTAACATTCTAGCTATATTATTCCTCTGGACCAAAAGTCATTTTACCAGTGTTACCTAAGTTGATCCCTCTATTGCCCATCTAGCTGCTAAAACCTAAGTTTTACTTTATAACATTAATATCTATTTTGCAAGAATTTTTAAAATAATTATCAACTAGTGTTCAAACCCTCTGGTCTATCAGCACCTTCCTATTTGCACTAAAATTAGTGTGTAATTGAACATCTCTTAAGATGCATTATATACTACTAACCTACCCAATAAAAATACAGTAAACATCAGTGATGGGACTGAAATCACAGTAAAATAAAGCAAGCTTATAGTCTCTTCAAGAGACTAGACTGTATGGTCATTCTTGATTGCCTAAAATATACATCCAATATTTCATTATTTCATACCTGCAACTCTTTCCTATACTACTGATCAACTACCCATTCAAGAATAAATGTAGTATTTTTTATATGTACCTATTAAGAACAAAATCATTTCTTATTTTCCTACAAGGCTGACATATTTGCCCACTGATAGAATACGGGCATTCTCCCACACTTAATGCCCCACTACTGATTAAAAAAAAAATAGGAAAAAAAAAGTTCTTACCAACAATTCCACTGGTTATCGTCCCCAGCGAACCCCACCTAGCAAGTCGACATCATGACATGTCAGGTCAGGGCAGCCTCAACCTCGCTTCCCTGATAGTCAGGTGATAAAAGGAAGGAGTTAAAACAGGGAAAGAACACTTGCAGATTTCTGGATAACATCTGAAAATGATTAAAAACAAAAGCAAAACAAAACCAGAGCTTCTGGTAACCTCTAAATATGTATATACACACACATACATATGTATGTAAAAAGAAAAAGCACTTTTTTTCAGGAAAACCACCAATAACTATGTCAAATTAAACATTTATTATTAAATTACTAATTCATATGAAGTTAAATATGCATACTTTTAAAGCTTGGTGCTTGCGTTTCGAAATTAAGACCTAATCAAGAAACTTGTAGTGTAAATGTAAGCATGACTGTTCTATGGATTTGTTATTCTGGATTCTCCAGTCATCCAATGCATGGTCTGAAGCAGAACAACCCCACCCCTAAGTTAACAGAAGCTCCCATTCTTACAGAAACATAAAACACACTTGGAAATCCAGTGCATTCTTTCTATAAGGCTTTTTCTGAGCTGCTCACTTAAGAAACTCCAACCACTCAAGGACAACACAAGCAGTAAGTACAGTTGGTCGCCTTCAACACCAGATAACTCGGAATAGAAATGTTCTCTTCAAAAAAATCAAAACAGCAAAATTTAGAATTAGGAGTACTTCTAATTGACAACAGCCTTATAGTAAGTATTTACTGGAAGGGTTTTGTTTTACAAATAATATACTATTAATAAAACATAGGTATGATCATATTTAAATGGGCAGGAGGCAAATGATGTAATGAGTTTCAAGAATCATAATATATGGCTTTATGCTAGGAGTGGAATTCTATGTCCTTTCTCTTTTGGAACTTAAAATATACAATTTATTTTTATGCAATCTGACCTTTATAAAAAGAGGGCTTACCACCTAAATAAGTTTTCAAAATCAAATGAGAAAAATTATCTACTACTAACAGAAAGCACTGGGCTTTCTTATGCAGAATTAATCCCAATAACTAAGAAAACTTGAAAGCAATTACTAAATTCTTTTGTTAAAAAAAAAACTATATAACCATTACTTTTGATCAAATAAAGCTAAATTTATTAAAAATGTGGCAACTTTTTAACTTTTTTAAAAAATTAAAACACCTTCATATAATACATACATTTAAGCAACTGCTATAAATGAGTGATCAAATGAAAATTAGTACTTCATTAAGGGGAATATTTGTCATTAAGGGTCTACTTCAATGTTATTTCCCAACACACAATTTATTCAAATAGGCACATAAACAATGCTGAACCAATAAGGTTGGGAAACCAGAAAAAGATAGAAAGACAGAAGTGGAAACCAAATCCATCGGAACTCAATTCACGCTTACTATTTTTTTTTTTAAAGCATACTATAAATCTGGAATAAAGACTTCCCTCAACTGATACTTTTCAAGTTTATATTTTATACTTTGAGATTTCTATGAAAAGCTGAGCTCTCATTTTCTCTAAGTGCTGCTATAGCAGTAATTTATAAATATTAAAAAGGAAAAGTTTTGAAGTTTTAATGAGCTATGTTTTTGGTGAAATAAATCAGAAAATCTATAAAAGCAAGTATTAGTGGGGTACCTCTGCAATATATCTTTAATTAGCAAGAGGGACAGTCAAAATGTAATTTGCAATTTTTGAAAGGAAAAAATTCTGATATGAAACTCAAGCTACATTCTTATGTTTTTACAAGGGTTTCTTTATATTTTAGGGTGGGTGGGAGAAACATAATAAGCTACTTTTTAGAATCATCTATTCCCATTCCTAATTTTCTTCATGACAACTCTGTAGCTTTTAATATCTAAGTTTTAATAAATACAAATAATTCACTTGTAATTTTCTTTCCAAAAAATCAATATTATTTAAGTATCATTTAGATTTACAGTCACACCTTCAAACTGTATGTTCAAAGTTTAAGAGCAGCATTTAAAGACTGTTTGGTGTCTTTACTTATAGACATGGGCATAAGAAAAATAATAAACTGAATCCTTACCACATAAATACCCATGTTAACTTGCAACTACAACAGACCCATTTGCATTAGCTTCCAAAAATATAAGGCCTGTTTTATTACTACATGATGCAGTGGGTATAACTGAAATTGAAATGAACTATATTGTGTATCATAAGCAAATACTTTCTTATTGAAAATGAAGTCATAAAACCCCAAATTTGATGTAGTCAATCTCTTAAGGAATTTGCTATCACAGAAGACACCAAAAAGGAACAAACACAAAATAATAGTGTGTCTACTTTAAGCATTCCCCAATGGCTTTTACTTTCACCATTATAAAGACATTTTGAAGCAAGCTAGGAACAAAATGGAAGGGAAAACTAGATAGTAATTTGAAAACGATCCACACTATTTTGCACTGCAGTTTAGCTTCTTTTGTTCCTTTCCTTCTCAAACAAGAAAGCCATTAAAATAAATCAGAATTTAGATTTTATGTTTTGGCCAACCAAAAACTTAGCCATTAGGGGTAGTAAAAATATAATAAAAAAGACATGTTACCAGAAAGTCTATTAGAATATTTTAAGCCTCTCTTAGAAGGCATGTATCTCAAAGCAAATTTACACAGCAAAAGGTAATTGTATTTTTAAACCAGTAGCCACAACAACATACGCTAAAACAAGCTCGGTCCACAGTGTAACTGGCCACTATCGTACTAAGAGTTTTCCCAGTATGTATGTTTGCTTATCCAGCAAATAACGTCTCCAGCCACAGATTATCCATTATACAATGAATGATGGACAAAATAGATTGCAGACTGCTTCCCAGGCCCATTTTAAACACAAATTATCCAATGCTTGCAGTGCTTGAACATATTTTCTTTTTAAATAATAAAATTTCCAAATTAATAGACTATGAGAAAACACCAATCAATGAATTTAGACTATTCCTCAGTCTGATATCCATGGTACATGTTGGAACAGACAAGAAATTTTGCGTGAATTTGATCACTCACATAGGCAGTTATACTTTGAAAACAATATTCCTTGCAGGATTACAAGTAAAATAATGTTTTAGGACACAATTGAATTTGAAATAGGTAATGTTTTGAATAGATTTTTGAGTTTTATTGAAATCTTACATGAACAAGAAATTGGAAATACAATCACATCAAAGAACAAATTGTCACGGCTTTGACGTTTAAGCCAAACAAATTTTGTAGGGCAGATTTCAAAAAGGTGTGAAGTTATAACAATTTAAAAACACAGTTAACCTACTTCTAGGAATGCAAAACATACAATCATAGGTTATTTCCAATACAAGAAAACTTAAATTTGTTTGCTTTAATTTCTTAAAACTACTAAGACAAAGCACTGGCTTGTATTTTTATTTACAGCATACTCCAGACTCCTAGGTAATCTATCCCAAATCCAAAAAAATGAAACTGTCCAAAACCAAAGGTTCTGCAAAAGCATGATTTACCAGCTTGTTTGGAAGCTAAAATGAAGCCTGAAACAATAAAAGCATTGTGACCCCCAGAATAAGGGAACTCTGCAAGCCCAATAATGTCCAAGAGCATTTATGAAAAGAAGAAAAATAAAAAGACTTGAATATATACACAATAGTGATTTCTTCGGCCCAATACAAATGGCAGCGAACTGCTACTTAAAGATGAACCAGTTAAGCCATTTTTTTGAAGAATGTAGATCTAGTGCCAATCGGTTCTTGCCATATCATTTTCAAACCCTCACTTGTCTATTTCCACTGTTGCCCATAAGTATCCTGATAAAATTCCTGGTTGTCATTATTGTAACCATAGTTACCAGAATAGTCACCACCTTGCTGAAGCGGCTGCTGAGCGATGGGTTGGGAACCCCAGTTCTGTTGGTTGTTGGTCTGACGACGCTTGGAATCAGGTTGGTTGTACCCGTCTGCCTTTCTCTTGCCTCCTACATTGCCCCCACGATTGCCCCGAGCTCCACGGGAACCACGGCCTCTCTGCTGTTGTGCAGGACCCCCTCTGCCACCCCTAGAGCCTCGCGGTGGTCCCAAAGGTGCCCCCCTCTGTGAATAGCCAGCTCTACCTCTTGGAGGTGGTGCTCCCCGCCCTCTTGGTGGTGGTGGAGCACCTCGCCCTCCCCTTCCTCCTCCTCTTCCTCTTACTGCATAGCCATCATCATAGCCGTAGTAGGGATCTTCGTAGCCTCCACGATAGTCGTGATAATCGTAACCATAGTAATCATCATAGTAATCTTCATATCCATAGTAATCTGGAGGGTAGCCGTATCCACCTCTCCCCCCACCACGACCTCGGCCTCTAATTGGAGGTGGCATTCGAGGAGGAGGGTGATAGTAATAATCTTCATACCTAGCAATGGAAGGGAAAAGAGAATTCAGATTAGCTTCTTTCAGGTTTCTTCTTCACCTGATCTCTACTGCCATGCTCTTCCTTGTGTGAAGGCGCATCTACTGAAATGCAGACTCACGCGGAGCTTCGGGAGGCCTGTCTAGCGGCTTGGCGCTCTTTCCTTTTCTTGTCTGGTGGCTTGGCTAAGACTATTTCTATTTCTTCCCCTTCTATTTCTTTGCCATTCATTTCATCCATAGCCTAAACAAAAATTAGAGAAATGAGTACACAAAGTAAATTTTAAAATATAAGTAGTAAATAAGAAATAAGTCAATTTAAGATACTATTTACTTTGAAGTTACTTAAAATTCTTACTTTATTTTTACTTTATCTGAAAATGAGAGACCTTCCATTGGTTGATTCAGTCCCCAAATGCCCATTACAAGCCAGGATTGGGCCAGGCCAAAAACAGGTGCCTGGAATGCAATCTGATTCTCCCATGCAGGTATTCCCAATCATTTTTTAATTCACAAAAGAAGAATATGGCCAGAAGGTAAAGTTTCCCTGAATCATAACTTGTTTTATGTAAGCTGCATCCAGAACAAAACTTATCAACCTTCGTATAAAATTCTTAAATTTATGTTTATTTATTTGAAGGGTAGACAGAGAGTTTCATCCATCTGCTGGTTAACTCCTCACACGCTGGAAGGAGCTGGTACGAGGTTAGGCCAGAGCCAGAAGACTAGAATTCAATCCAGGCCTCCCACATGATGAAAAGAACCAAACTTTCCACGAGGGCCCACTGCCTCCCACGATGCATGTTCACAGAGGCAGAATCAGGAGTGGAGCCAGGATAAGAAACCAGATGCAGGACCCCACGTGGTGTCCTAACCACTCAGCAAAATACCTGTCTTCTTCCATTATAGTAAAAAAGATCAAAGGGTTACCTGTTGCTCTCCCTTAATTTTAAATAACTAACTCTTCAAACCTTAGTCAAACCAAAGACACCAACTTAACACTATGGGAAAATGTCTGCACTAATACAAATCAAACAATTTCAACCTCTCAGGAAATAAAGTTTTCTGTGAGACAGAAGGAAAACATGGTAGCCCCAACCTCTTTTCTGCCAAGCTCACTTTTACCGAAGTTGTGCTAACAAAGGATCTGACTTCAAATAAAAAAACTAATAATCCAAAAAAATTTCTCAAGATTCAAATTAAACACGAGGCATTCAACAAATCTTACGTTGTTCTATCATCAACCTTTGCCATGCTCCCAAGATTCAGGTACTTGGTCACAAAACATTAACTCATCACTATATTTCGCCTACTGATACAAAATGCCCCTCTCTGGGCACACCTAGATAAAATCTATAAAGCTTATTAAGTGATTTCCTAGCTAGTACTCCTTTAGATTTCAATACTCCCCTTGTAGCACTTCAGCTTTGGACTGCTGTTAAACAACTGAACAAGTCTACAAGCTTTCAGGTATAAACAAAGAATGGAAAGCTATCCTCTGTTTTGCCAAACAGAGCTGGCCGATCAACTCCTGAATTAGAAATCTTCTAATTTCATTAGTTTATGTGAAAATCATACTAATTCATTTTTTCCCCTTACTTAAGATTTATTTTATTTGAAAAAGTGACACAGTGAAGAGAGGGAAAGACAAAGAAACAGATGCTCTACTCACTGGTTCATCCCACGAATGACTGCAACGGCCAGGGCTGGTCTAGTTAAGAATTTCATTTGGTCTCACATCTTTCATTGCCTGGGCAACATTCACAGGAAGCCAGAATGAAAACGGAGCAGCTGGGACTTAAACCAGTGCTCTGATAAGGAATGCAGGCATTGCGAGCAGCAGCTCAATCAGCAAAACACTGGCATTATCCTGCTAGTTCTTCAATGTGATCAAAATGAGTATGTAGAAAGTACTATATAAAATTTTCAGTTCTACAATACTGAAAATTTCGGAAGCCAAATGTTTAATTTTGAACTAAACTGTGAATTTTACTAGCCATATTACCTCACTAATTGGTTCTCATCAGTAAGCAAATTCCACCCTAGTGAAAGCTATTACAAAGCATTATTTCTTGGGTAAGAAAACAAAACAAAACAAAAAAACCCTGAGACTGAAATTGGCAGCATTCCTCTACTGAACTTGGAGAAAAACAATCAAACCTGAATCACCAAGTATTTTAGACCCATCTTCCTAATTACCTAAAAAGATTTTGTTACTGGTTTATCTTCCTTTCTCCCCAAGGAAGCATGAATGAGGAAAAGAATATGGAAATTCTGTTAAAGACAGTGCTAGTTATTATCACGAAAAAGCAGCAGAAGTCAGGTTCCATGCTCTAGAAAACATATGAAAGCTTTTCACATTTTTCTATACTATGATAAAGAAATAAACCAATTATTATATATAATAGTTTCTTTTCACTATTATTAAAATTTAAAAAACCACAGCTGACACTAAAGGCAGAGCAGATGTTGTAGTTTAGTGGAGTAGGTTAAAGTGCCTCTTGGGATAATTGCATCCCACATTTCCAAGCCTGGTGGCTCTCTTCTAATGCAGCTTCCTGCTGACACACGCAGGCAGGCAGGACATGACAGGTCAAGTGCTGGGCTCATGACCATCCACACTGGGGGCTGCAACCGAGTTCTTGGTCTAAGCCTGGCCCAGCCTTGGCTATTGCAGGCATTTGGAGAGTCACCCAGTAGTCTTCCTTCTGAGTAGATGAATAATCAACAACAACAACAATAGACTGAAGATAAAAATATTAAAAACCAACCAAACCTTCAAAATACATTTACAGAGCCTGGTGCAGCAGCTTAGGTGGCTAAAATATTTGCCTTGCATGCGCTGGGATCCTCTGCCCAGTTGTTCCATTTCCCTTCTGGCTCTCTACCTGTGGCCTGGGAAAACAGTAGAGGATGGCCCAAAACCTTGGAACCCGGCACCTGTGGGAGACCCAGAAGAGATTTCTGGCTCCTGGCTTCATATTGGCTCAACTCTGGCCATTGCAGCCACTTAGAGTGAACCAGCAGATAAAGGATCTTTCTCCCTATGTATCCCTCTCTCTGCAAATCTGAATTTCCAATTTAAAAAAAATCTACAAAATCTGATACTATACCATAGCTAAATCCGCCCATGCTATTGGGTTTCTTTCATTGGTCTACAGAGCTAAAGTAAACAAAGAAATATTATATTTGCTACCTATTTAGTATTTATAGCAGCTAATTATTATATCTTGTAATATTTCTATGACATACTATCAAATGTTAGGCTTATACAAACAATAGCTTAAAAATAACTTACCTGAAACTACAGATGCAGGAATATTTTGGCATTGAAATACAGTCTAACTATACTACTGCTTTACAGAGATTATTAAAAACAAAGTTCCAAAGTTCAATACAAGCCAAAACCAATTTTGTTTTTGAAGATACTTTATGTGTTTATAAATTTTAACAGCAAAACTCAAATATCAAGAAGTAAAAAAATTTCCAAATTTCTACCTTAACAGCTGCTCCTCTGTCTTCAAAATGGACAAACGCATAATCTTTCAACTTCTTTACTCTTTCAAGTTTTCCAAATTCAGAAAATGACTTTTCCAGGATTTCTTCTGTCACGGTTGTAGCCAAATTTCTCACAAACAAAACCTTCACCTAACAGCAACAAATACACAAAATTGGCACTGGCTACTGAATTGTATTTAGTCTTCAAGCACTTCTTCCTGTCTTCAGGGCACAGGATTCTCCAAAAAATTAGTGCTAAAGTATCATCATAAGAAGTACAAGAAACTGTCAAGAAAACCAATGGCATTAGGTACAAATTTACGGAATTTGTTGGTTTTTACCTTCTACCCATAACATTATAGCATTTAACATTAGCAATAGAACCTTCAAGAAATCAACACGCAATTGCTCCTAAGCTACACTTTTAACATGATCATGTAAGTTCCCAGTTCAGTGAGTCTTCCAGCTTTTCCCCTATAGCTCTGGATAATTATCTAAGATTCACATGAAATAAGAATAAACAAGACAAAAACACATGAAAAATCTAGAACCTAACCCTATGAGATGTAAACTTAAATGTTTACACAATTTAGTTAGTACTGCACTTATAAAAAAAAAAGATGAAAAGTTGGTCTCACACTTTATCACGATAAACTTGAAGCAGATTAAAACTGTAAATGGTGAGAGAGATGGGGACTGTGAAATAAGTGTGATGTCTTCATGTAACACTAGTAGGGGGACGGTCTTGACTTAAAATCTAGAAATCATATAAAAGAACAATGCATTCAAAAATAAATGCCTACTAAAAATAAATGCCTTCTATATGGCAAAAAATACCAAAATTAATGTCAGAAGAAAAATGACCTCTATCAAGAGATAATCATTTCTGTCAAAGATCAGAAAACAAGAATAAGCCTAATCAATGGAAAGAAAAACAGGCAGAAATCATGAATCCATGGTTTAAATCTAAAACATGACAAGCTCAAGCTCTTACCTGGTGACAGAAACCAATCTTAACACACTGAGATACCATTTGTTACTAGATCAGCAAACTGCAGAGTGCAGCCCTACAATATTATGTCAAGGCTGAGGAAACAGTCCCCTTGCATTGGGCTGGTAAAAGACCACACCATATTCCTTAGAGGTTATTATTATCTTTAATAATTACAAATGCATTTATAATTTGGACTGCAATTCTACCCCTAACATCAGTCATCTGATATGGAAACTATTGTTAGCAACAACAATAAAGACAGGCAAGACACACCTAGCAGGTCTGCATACAATATGACACACCTACAGAGAATATTATGCAGCCACAGAAATCAGGTTGAGCTCTATGCAGTGATATAGAGAAACTGCCAAAATACATTATTTGTAAGACACTCTGCTTCCCCATTCTCATGTTTCCAAAATGGGAATATTAAAATTTATAGTCAATAATGTTAACCAAGCATTGTTTAACACTGCCAGCAGCATTTTATAATAATAATAAAAAATACATACATACATACATACATACATACACACATTTATTTATTTGAGGAGTCAGTACCATGACTCAATAAGCTAATCTTCCACCTTTAAGCACCAGCATCCCATATTGGCACTTGTCTGTGTCCCAGCTGCTCCACTTCCCATCCAGCTCCCTGCTTATGGCCTGGGAAGGCAATGGAGGATGATCCAAGGTCTTGGACCCCTGCACCTACACAGGAGACCCAGAAGAATCCTGGCTCCCAGTTTCAAATCACTCAGTTCTGACTGCTGTGGACATTTGAGGAGTAAACCAGTGGATGGAAGATTTTTGTCTCTCCTCTCCTTAAATCTGCTTTTCTGATAAAAATAAATAAATGTTTTAAAAAAGAAAAAATACATATATATATTCACTGAAATTCAGAGCTACACAGATATTGAAATAGAGGGAAAGATAGATATCTCCCATCCTCAATTTCACTCCACAGATGGCTACAGTGGCTGGAACTGGGCCAGGCGCCAAAGCCAGGAGCCGCAGTTTCTTTTAGGTGTCCCATATAGGTGGCAAAGATCACAGAGTTGGGCCATCTTTGGTTGCCCTTCCCAGACCACTACAGTGAGCTGAATTAGAAGTGGAACAAATGGGACATGTACCAGTGCCCACATGGGATGCTGGTGTGACAGCGAACAGCTTTACCCATTACATAATACCAAACTTGAACATTTCATAATTTTTAATGGCACATAAAATAATGCCATAGTTCCTCAGGAATGATGAAACAGAATGACAAATTAATCAAATAGATATAAGTGAATATAGTTAGCTATCCTACAACTATCCTTGGAGGATTCAAGTAAAATAATAATTTATACTCATATTTGCTTACAGAAATAACAAAAGGACAAGCCAGAGACTACTACACCTGGATGCCACAGAAACATAGACTGAAACATAGGAGAAGTGGGGACTCTATAGTGTAAACCTTTCTGTATAATTTCTGACTTTTGAACTAAAGATATTACTTAGTACAAGAAAAAAGAAATACATACAGCGAATATACTGTAGCCTCAGACTAAAGGCTATACAAATCAAAATATTTTAAAGACATTATTAACTCAAGGGAAGCAAGGATTAATACTTACTTAATCACCTTTACACTCCTTCCCCTTTTACTCAACACTGTCAAATTGGGGAGCGTTCTAGCCCCAACATTAGCCCTCCAACACCGGCTTGTTACCTTTAATAACCTCATGATGGAGTTTTTATTCTTTTATGTGAAGAAATTGTAACTTAGTATATAAAAATTATTTGATGAAATTTTATGATATTTCATAGGAAGACTCCTTTGGTATTCTAGGTTCTTAATCATTAAAAAACTAATCCAAACTAGAAAATAATCTTCAACTAATTGTTTCCAGGAGTGAACAGAGGATAAACAATTTTTTCAATTAGAAAATAAAGGAGTCAGGCCCGGCGGCGTGGCCTAGTGGCTAAAGTCCTCACCTTGAACGCCCCGGGATCCCATATGGGCGCTGGGTCTAATCCCGGCAGCCCCACTTCCCATCCAGCTCCCTGCCTGTGGCCTGGGAAAGCAGTCGAGGATGGCCCAAAGCCTTGGGACCCTGCACCCATGTGGGATACCCAGAAGAAGTTCCTGGCTCCTGGCTTCAGACCAGCATAGCATCAGCCGTTGCACTCACTTGAGGAGTGACTCATCAGATGCAAGATCTTCCTCTCTGTCTCTCCTCCTCTCTGTATATCTTTCCAATAAAAATAAATAAATCTTTAAAAAAAAAAGGAGTTAAAATTATTTGATCCCAAATTTGGAGGCTTTCTTTTCATTGTGAAATATTTCCAATTCAGGAAGAAAAATAATACTATATAAAATCTTGAAGTTTTCTACCTCCGAAAATGAGATAAAACCACAGGAAAGGCCACCAACAATAAGTAAAAAGTATTGGTACACGAATTCCTAGCTATATTTTAGTTTTCCTGGTTTTATTTCTCTCTCTTAATATCTCTAAGTTGCAATTTCTGGGTTTTTTTTTTTTAAGCACAAAAAGCAACAATATCACACTTAGTTTCTACAGGTAAACTCAAAATTGCAGTGGATCTTAACATTTATTTCATAAAAAATGATATCAAAGTCGTGTAACTGTCCAAAGTCAGTTGTCCAAGTTGTAGTAGCAGACGATATTAAGACCAAGTTAATTAAACATAGAAATTAAAAATTAGGGATACATTCTCAACTTTTACTAGTCATTTATTCTTTCAAACACCAAGATAAAAGATACAGCTGAGAAGACCTTCTGAGACCCTCTCTGGTTCATTCTCAATGGATGTTTTTCCTACATAATTCAAAGACGTTTTTGCCTACAAAGACTATATCATACTAGTAATTAACCAGAATTCATCTCCAAACTAGCAACAATTTTACTCAGGAAAAAAAGCCAAAGGAAAGAAATCTCAATCAAGAATTCAACCAGTTTTTATAGCCACTTAACTGATGCCTCCCTGAAAAGGGAGGAGACAGTCGAAACTGAAATAGTTAAACTCCATGTAAGCAGGACAGATTTCAACCCACATGTCCCTCCCCAGAAACCTTGAAGTATCCAAAAGAAAGCCTAAAAGCCCGGGCTGAGGGCACCTCCAGCTGCCAGGCGAGCAACCCGGCAACACAAGCACAGGGTGTTGGAAGGAACGAAGGGCCATCAACACGACCAGCCATGAAGATTCTGCTATCAATGGACATCAAGCACAATTCTTTGTCTTTCTTCACACAGACAACAAAAGAAGCTGACCATTTAAAAAAAAAAAAAAAGTTAAAAATGAAAAAGAAAAATTAGCTATAAATCTAAATAAAAAGTAATTGACACCATGTGATAAAAGCTACAGTGCAGTCATTGATTGAGACTATAATCTGTAAACTCCAAAACATCATTTCTCTCTTTACTCTGCAAGTATCCAGCACTATGGGGATACAGAAAATATTCATTGCATATGAAATACTCAAGGGAACGCACACCATTTCCTCTTACACATTTAATCTCTAGGAAAAGAGATGACTAATGGAAATTCATGAACACCAAGGCAGTCTGTAGCCTCGGAGTTAAATCAGTCACTGCCTAAACTGCTACAGTCAATAACTACAATTCACATTTATCATAAAACTCAAAATATCTAAGCTTTACTCTGAGCACAAAATTGAAATAATCTCCCTACTCCCACCCCAACCCAGTGTATTTACCTTAGCCATGACTTCTGGGTCTGGTTCTTCCACGGGGTCAGCCCATTCAACTGTAACTACATTTCCCCATACTTTTACTTTTCCACTCATCAGCCGGCGTCTGGCTTGTGCTGCTGACTTGTGATCCTCATATTCAAGGAAGCAGAACCCCCGATTCTTCTTTTTGTCATCGGGTTGATGATAGAGAATAACGTCCACCAAACCCTCTGTTAAACCAACAGCCAGATATATAAGCCAAAAGCATCCACCACACACCTAAGGCAGACCTAAATCCACTTGTCAACAAGCAAAACTAAGGCAAAAATTAAAGAAACCTTAAAACAAGTCACCAGTTAGCTAATAGACCATTAGGTCAACACAATCAGATATGGAGTGTGGGACAGAAGTTTAACTTTCTCTTTTAATTTTAGAGTCCTAGTAGTATACCACATTAACAGGTTTAACCACATTGATACTTAATATTCTACAGTTTTTTACAGTATTTTAGATAACTTAGCCTCATAATTTTAGTATTATGAAATATCTTAAAAACCAAATTTAACGGAAACCCAAGACAACTAATCGTGAACAAATTTCCTAGACTTACTGTTTCCTGTTTTTGCCAGGAATGAAGATGGTCCCAAACTACTGGTATCCCTCTGGTATCAGTCCTGTGCCCTAGCCTCTTCATACATGTTTATTCTAGGTAATTATCATTCAGATGTATTTTCAGAGACCACATATATTATTATAAAGCTAGCTTTTATTTCTAATCCAGACTTCACCAATATACACGTGTCTGTTGCTGAACATGTCCCCTTAGGACATTTCAAACTTAACACATCCCATACTACACAACCTTGTCCCAGACCTTTCCTTCCTAGACTTCCCTAACAGTGCCATCCACTTGATTTTAAACCAAAAACTAATGAGGAATCTTTGATTTCTTCCCTTGCTTTATCTTTCTTACCCAGTTCCAAATTCATCTACTTCTTTTGATCTCCGCTGCTAAAACCCTTCTCTGGTCTTCTGATCCACAGACAGCCTCAACTAATTTATCAGTTTCTCCTCTTGATTCTTTCTCCAAACTCTCACTCACATAGCAATAATAACATTCTGCAAACACCAAACAGATGTTATTTCCTGATTCAGCCTTCAAGTGCTTTTCCCATCATCTATATAATAAAGTCTAATCTTCTTATATGGACTACAAAAGTCCTGCCTTTTTCATCTCATGCAATCCTACCCCTAATTTTGGCTCTTAACAACAGCTTTCTTTCAATACTGTTAATATTCTGAGTTCCTTCTTGTCTTGGACATTTGGCATGTGCTGTGCTCTGAGAATGGAGCTCCATTTGCTACTGGTATGCTACATCTTCTTAGACCTTGGCTGAAACATCACCTCATCAAGTGGGGCTTCTCCCTTTGTTTCTCCCCTGACCCCAGGTAAGGGGGAAAAAAATATGGTATTAGTGTGGAAACAATGGTCTTACCCACTTTCCTGTAGGCCCTTGACCCTTTGTACCCTAATCAACTAAAATAAAAATAAACAAACAAACAAATAAATAAAATAGAATAGGCTAGGTGACAATGCTGGCACATTGGTATGGATAACAAAGATTTGACATTTTCCAGGCCCAGGATACGTACCAGCTATTAATTGCTTTTCTCCTAGCAGTGTAACACTTAGCTAGGTATTATGCAAAGTCCACAGATGGGAGGAAAGGTTTTACACGCTCATTAATTGGTTATGATATTTTATTTATGATATGTCACAGGTCTTCATTTCCAAAATTATATAGGAAATCCAATGAAGAAATCTGAAACTAATCTTCTTAGCAATTAAATTATATGACAACATGTATTCCTGAATTATTTTAGGGCAACAAAACTGTAGAAGTGCTATATCAAGGCCAAGTTATGATGTAAATGAGATGTAAACCTTAATTGTATTAATTTACTGAGATTTTGGAGCTATTCTTAACAACAGCTGGGAATTACTTCATCCTGACTAACAAAGTAGCCAGCAAATTAAATAAATTTTATTTATATGTTCAGAGTAATAATTTCTTTAACACTGCTATTGAGCTTAGTCTACTCCACCATAATGAATTAAATAAGAAATCCATCTTACTTTAGATGATTTTTGTTTCCTTGAATTTATATACCTAACATATATGTTAGAGTTGTTAAAAAGTAAATTTTATAGTTTTAATTTAAAAATAAATAAATAAATAAAACCAACTCATCAGAAAACCAAGGATAATAGCTATTCTCTAGTTAAATATCCTGTATTTATGCTTTATATGGAATATGTAAAGATTTCTTTGATTTTGGGTTTTTATGTTCTTTCCTAGAACATAGGTTCTGTGAGGACAGGAAGATCTTTTATTCATTGCTTCCCAGCCCATGACACAATGCCAGTGCTTACTTAATAGGCATTTTAACACTTGATGGAGGAATACATAAATGAATATAAAGTCAGGAAAGAGCTGGTAGATAATAAAGTGATGAGCTCAAACAATCCCGACAGTAGCTATATCTGATTAACAAAATTATAACACGTAGTGACAACTGCTATGAAGTGTGATACTAAATTAAGATTTCAGAGTCAGCACAACTTTTGATGACAAGATTCAGAATGTGAACTGGATACCACAGAGCTGAGAAAACAGACTGCAGACAAGGCAGTCACAGAACCAGGCATCTAGTGCCTTGGACATTTCATTCACATGGATGCTAAAAGACCTAATCAGTCCATTCAGGAAAAAAAAAAAAGTAAGCCTGAAGCAAATTTCAGATTAAGCCTAAAACTAGGAAAACAGATGGCGGTTTCAACAAAGGACAAAGGATATGTGTCTGCATGACAAAAATATAAAGGAATAGTTTTTAGAACGGTTGCTAGTAGTCTAAAATGGTATCTTAAAGTCACAGGTAGCATTAACTGTTCCCAATCAGCATTCTTTAAAATGGAATACAAAACAGAATAAAGTTTTGGTACACTATTTTTCATACATAATTGTATACAGGCCTGAGTTATATATTTCTCAATCAATTCCATGGATTTTAAGTTGGAAAATATTAAAACTATGATCTAGACAAGTGAACAGAAACAGCCCGGAAGTGCACCTACGGGGGGAAAGAAGTCTCCACTTCAGCGCCATTGAGTAAAAGCCAGGGTTCAAAGAAAACAAAGTCGTGAAGGGTACACTAAGAACATGAGGAGACAGGGAGCTTGGTCCAGACCACCTCAATGGAGGAAGCAATTATACACATTTTCTTTTTGTAAAAGTATTTGTAAATCTGTCTACAGTATAACAGATTTTCCAGGGTTAATTTCTAAATACATTTTTGTTTTACCTGTGACTTTACTGAATTCTTCCAGGATGTTTTCCTTAGTCTTATTCTTCGGAATGGAGCCAACAAAAAGTCTGTTGTTTGCTACAGAAATGCACACTCCAAGGTGTTTACCAGGGCGGATTTCATAGCTGTCACACTGCAAGGAAGAAAAAAGCCAGAGACCCCAAACCACCCCAAACTCAGAACAAGCTAATCTTACTCTAAAGAATCCAACAATCTGAAGTCAAGCACTGCCTGCTTCACGGACTCACCAAGTTCCCTCAAATTCGCCCTTATATCAACAGATGCTTTAAATTTCACTATTATGGTTTCTTCTTTTAGTCTGCTTTTGCTAACTTTCACTATTCCTTTATACAAAAAAGGACTCATTTCCTTTCAAAAAGTCTTGTTTCACACTTCAGCTGTTATCTTTCTGAAAATTCTTTCCCAGAGTTTCAGAGAAAGTACCTGACTGATCATTTGAGGTCCTTGCGGACGAAATTAGATACAAATCAATCATGGTCAAAATCACAATATATTGAGTGAAACTGTCTCATTAACGCAAACAGAAGAATTTGCACATTCTACACAGAACACAAAATTATAAGCACACAGATTTAAATTGTTAATCAAAAAGTAATACTTAGAATTCACTATAGTGATTAGGCTTTTAACCTTATCCACTGGGGATATGATCTAATAAAATATATTATCATTTAAGAATTAAAGTTTCCAATATATTTGTAAAAGCAAAGTTTTGGAAATTCCTTAATTTTAAATAAACAAGTTTGAAGGCAAAAATACCTAGTAAGAAGTAAAGTCTGGGTAAACGCAGGAGGGCAGTACCTCAGAACCCACCAGTGAGACCAAAGCCTTGGTAAAGGAGTCTACCTATTCTAGAAGGTCTGGAATTACATTAAGTGAGCCATTGGATGCCTGGCAAGAATATGCCAAAAAAAAAAAAAAAAAAAAAAAGACACTGTTATTTTAAGATACTGAGACAGCTGTATCTTGCCATATACAATGAAGACAAAATTTACAGAAATTTCCACTACTACTTCTACTACTCTGTCATAAGCACAAAATGGTAAAAAAAATTCTGGAGACAAGAAATTGCTAGAAGATTGGCTATGAAACAGCAGAGAGAAATATAAAGAGAGAGGACCTAGAAGACTGGCTATGAACAATCAAAGAGAAAGAATAAAGTCAGAGGAGATTCAATGGTTTAGAGATAGCAAAAGTAAGAATTAGAAAATAAAGCAAATATATGCTTAGACCTGGACAAAAAAGAAAAGATTATTATTGAGTATATGAATTGAGTCCAAAGTGACTGCCACCCAAATTCCAACTTTCATACTTTCTGTAGACTCCTAAAGTTGAACAGCAAAACTAAAAACTCAATTAGAATGAAACTTTTGATACCAATAATCTAATGTGTAATGTCTTAAAATCATTACTTTCTAATACACATTGTATTTTGAATGCATTAATTTTACTTTTAGAGCAAAGGTCAGATACCAATTCTGTCAATATTAAAACATTCAAAGCAACAGCTGAAGAAAATGAAGCAATGTTAACTGCAATCATTTTTTCATTGAGTTTACTCTCAAATACAAACATGCTAAACCATGGGTGTTTAATTACTTACCAGTTTAACAGCTTCCTGCGCAGCTTCCTTTCCACAGAAGGTGATAAACGCATACCCGCGGTTCTGACCAGACAGTGGGTCCATCATAAGACGGAGATCCCAAATTGGACCAGCCTTCTCAAAAAGAGGCACCAATTCATCCTCGTATAAATCTCTGGGTATTTTACCAACAAAGACCTGAAATAAAACTCTGTTATTAGAATCCAACATAATCGCTTCTCGGCCTTTTGGCTAAGATCAAGTGTAGAATCCAACATGAGCATTTGCCTTTTGAACTGTAAAGCTTAACTGTCCTTTTTTACATACAGAGGCAGAAGAAGGTAAACAAAGAACAGGAATAATCTGAATCCAGTGACTAACTTACAGAAGCCTAATTTCGCTCATAATGTTCTTAGGGCTTTGTTTGTTGTTGTTTTAAGATTTATTTATTTTTATTGGAAAGACAGATATATAGAGAAGAGAAGAGACAGGAAGATCTTGCATCTGATGAGTCACTCCGCAATGGCTGGAGCTGAGCCAATCCAAAGCCATGAGCCATGAGCCTCATCTGGGACTCCCACATGGGTGCATGGTCCCAAGGCCTTGAGCCATCCTCCACTGCTTTCCCAGGCCACAGTCAGGGAGCTGGATGGGAAACAGGGTTGCAGGGACACAAACCAGTGCCCATATGAGATACCAGTAGATGCAAGGCGAGGACTTTAGCCACAAGGCTACCGCACCAGGCCGAGTTTTCTTTTTTAATACATTTATTTTACTGGAAAAGCAGACTGATGATAAAGACTCATTTGCTAGTTTGCTACCCAAATGAGTCTAACAGCTGGCTGGGCCAGCCAAAGTCAGGAGCCAAGAACTCTATCCTAGTCTCCCACATGGATGGCATTCGCAGAGTTTATCCAAGTACTTGGCACTCTTCCGCTGCTTTCTCAGACACATTAGCAGGGAGCTGGATTACCTGGGACTCACACTGACGTTCTGATATGGGACGGCAACATTGCAAGCAATAGTTTAACATACCGGGCCACAATGTCAGCCTAAACTTCAGAATTATCAACAGGGGCCCGGCGCGGTGGCGCAAGTGGTTAAGGTCCTCGCCTTGCACCCCTGGGATCCCATATGGGCACCGGTTCTAATCCCAGCAGGCGCCCCGCTTCCCTTCCAGCTCCCTGCCTGTGGCCCGGGAAAGCAGTCGAGGACGGCCCAAAGCCTTGGGACCCTGCACCCGTGTGGGAGACCTGGAGGAAGTTCCTGGATCCTGGCTTCAGATCGGCATAGCATCGGCCGTTGCGGCTCACTTGGGGAGTGAATCATTGGACGGAAGATTTTCCTCTCTGTCTCTCCTCTCTGTATATCTGCCTTTCCAATAAAAAAAAAATAATAAAAATAAATCTTTAAAAAAAAAAAAAGAATTATCAACAAAGAACAATAATGGAAACTAACAAGAGTACCTAGATTTGTACTAACAATTAAAATTTTTGAATACTTATGATTTCTATTTTTTCCCAAAAAACAGAGAAAAGGGCATATCTGTGTCTCCACAGAAAAATGATAAAACTATAAAGACTGACATAACTATATCTAAGTTTTCTCAACTCACATCTTAGCCATTTTTCAGAATCTCCAGAATTTCTGTTCCTCTCTATCAAAATAGCAAATTTGGGCCCAGCACCATGGTATAGTAGTTTGAGCCTCCATTTGTAGCGCTACCAGCCTATATACCTCCTGGTTCATGTCTCAGCTGCTCTACTTCCAAGCCAGCTCCCTAAGCAACAGGGAAAGCCTTGAAAGATAATCCAAATCCTTAGGTCCCACATCCTTATGGGAGACAAGCTTCAGGCTCCTGGCTTCGGACCAGCTCAGATACGGCCATTGCCACCATTTAGGGAGTGAGCCAATGGATGGAAGATCTCTCCTTTCTCTATAAATCTTTAAAATTAAAATACTTAACATATTAAACATTTAACATATTAAAGACATGAAAACCCTCTCTGCCTAATAATTTATGATCAGTTTTAAGCATAAAATTATGCAGTGATAGTCAAATTATAATATACTAGAGAGGGTATTAAAGTATCATGCTTAAGTCCCCATGTGGGCTGCCCACAGCCCATATTGGAGCACATGGTTCAAATCCTAGCTGCTGCTCCACTTTCAATTGAATTTCATGCTGATGTGCAAGCTCAGAGAGAGGAGGAGATCAAGGACTTAGTCTGTCACACTCCACTGAGTGCCAGATTCTTGGCTGCAGCCTAATCGAGCTCTGGCTGGTATTGCATTGGGGGAAATGAGTCTCTCTGCCTTTCAAATAAGCAAAATGAAAACAGTAAAAAGTTTTCAAAGTTAAAATATATATGTATATATGTATACAGTAGTGATAAATCAAATTAAAAGTCAAAAGGGGCCAGGGTTTTATTTGTTGATTTTTTTAAACTTATTTTTATTGAAAAGGCAGGATCTACAAAGAAAAAGAGACATATCTTTCATCCACTTGTTCACTTCCCAAAGTGGCCGTAATGGCTGGAGCTGAGCCAATCAGAAACCAGAAGCTTCTTCTGGGTCTCCCACAGCAATGCAGGGTCCCAAGACTTTGGGCCGTCCTCCACTGCTTTCCCAGGCCACAGTCAGGGAGCTGGATGGGAAGTGGAGCAGCCAGGACACAAAACAGATGCATGTATTGGATTCCAGCACTTAAAGGGGAAGGACTAGCTAATTGAGTCAAAGTACCAGACCAGGGTACCAGGGGCGACTGTTCTGGCACAGTAGTTTTAAGTCAATGCTTATGTCTCCAGCACCCCATATCAGAGTGCCAGTTTGGGACTAGCTTCTCTGCTTCTGAGATTCTTAGGAAGGCAGCAGAAGCCACCCAAGCATGTGGGTCCCAGATACCCATATGGGAGACCTGCATGGAACTCTGGCTGCTAAATTTGGCCCGGCCTAGCCCTGGCTATTACAGGCATTTGGGGAATGAAGCAGTGAGGAGAAGCCACCTCTACTACTCTGCCTTTGAAATAACTAAATCAACAGTTATTCCAGCAATTCTTTACGGTTGCCAATCCTCACTAAATATTCTAAGATCATTTTGGCATTGTTATCCTCATAGTCTTTACTTACTTGCCCATTTCTTTTTTCTACCTTCTTTAGAAAACAAGCTGCGTATCTTTTTTCCCCCTTCAGTCCTATCTTAGTAAACCCCACCTTTCTCCCCGATTTCTTGTGTCTTCACAAAATTCAAACTTAGTTTAACAACCAAACACATAATTTAACATTCCAAGACACACATTAGTCTAATATTTGGTAGCTTTCACAGGTAAATGTTTTAAACAAGTAGAAAGACTGGAGAAATGATAATGGATCATAGATATCATTTAAAAAGTTGAAAGATTTTGGATGTATTCATAAAGAAATCATAAATATTTGAAGATATAGATAGGCTTAACCGACTTGAACATTTTCTCAAACATCACCTGGGTTCCCACTAATCCAAACAATCCCCGTCAGCTATATAAAGAACTTCTGGGAGCCAGCACTGCACTATTAACAGGCTAGGCCTCTGCCTGCAACAGTGCCTCACATACGGACACCTATTCAAGTTACTATCCACTTCCAATCGAGCTCACTGCTACACTGTCTGGGAAAAGCAGTGAGCGCTGCTCCAAGTCCGTGGGCTCCTGCACCCACATGGGAGACGTGAAGAAGCTCCTAGCACTGACCTGGCCCAGCCCAAGCTGCTGCAGCCATCTCAGCAGTGGACCAGAGGATGGCAGATCTCTTTCCCTCTCAACCTAACTCCGTCTTTCAAATTAAAATAGTAGATCTTTAAAAAACAATTACAAAGGGGCCTGGCGGCGTGGCCTAGCGGCTAAAGTCCTCACCTTGAGCACACTGGGATCCCATATGGGCGCTGGTTCTAGTCCTGGCAGCCCCACTTCCCATCCAGCTCCCTGCTTGTGGCCTGGGAAAGCAGTCGAGGATGGCCCAAGGCCTTGGGACCCTGCACCCATGTGGGAGACCTGGAAGAAGTTTCTGGATCCTGGCTTCGGATTGGCATAGCATCGGCCATTGCGCTCACTTGAGGGGTGAATCATCGGATGGAAGATCTTCCTCTCTGTCTCTCCTCCTCTCTGTATATCTGACTTTCCAATAAATAAATAAATCTTTAAAAAAAAATTTAAAAGATTCTTAACAAAATAAAACTTTTCAACATAAAATGCCTCTTTCTGATCACTCATGCAGTTATTTACAACACATATAGTCAGGATTTAAAAGCTACAGAGAAATATAAATAAGACAACTACAAAAATATGTCTCTCAAACTTTAACTTTTTAATAACTGGGGCCAACATTGTGGCACAGCAAGTAACGCTGCCCCCTGCAGTGCCAGCATCCCACACAGATGCCCATTCAAGCCCTGATTACTCCAGTTCCAATCCAAGTGCTATTGCACTTGGGAAAAGTAGAGGAGGATGCACCAAGTCCATAAGCCCCTGTCACTCGCATAGGAGACCCTGAACAAGGTCCTGGCTCCTGGTTCTGGCTCTGGCCTGGCCCAGCCCTGGCTACTGCCTCCATCTGCAGTAGAAAATTAATTTCTCTCACTTTCCCTCTCTCTCTCTCTCTCCTGCCCTCTTCCTTCCTCTCCCATATCTCTTAACTGTGGCTTTCAGATAAGTAAATAGTTGGGAAAAAATTAATAAGTATAACAAAACACAAAAGAAACAAAAACCAAAACCTCACATCAACAATTGTTCTCAATCAAAACCAATTTATTTATTACATGTATCAGCAACAAAATACATTTAAAAAGTCCATTTTCCAAGCTGATTTTTAACAAATAAAGATCAATCTAATGAAACTGAACCTAATGGGTGGAATCTAATAAAACTTTACATTAGACTCTCATTTTAATAAATTACTTAATAGGAATGGCTCAGGCTGGTAATTTCACACAAAGATACTGCTGCAACAACATCTGCTCTACACAAGAACATTAATGATACAGAACACTGCATCTTTCTCCTAAGCATAGTGCAGTAGAAACATGAACACATCAAAAAGCTTACAGAGGCTGGTGTAATGGCTCATTGGCTAATCCTCCACCTCTAAGTGCCAGGATCCCATATGGGTGCTGGTTCATATCCCGGCTGCTTCACTTTCTCTGCTTATGGCCTGGGAAAGCAGTG